CCCCCTAACAACTCAACTCTTATTTCACTTCCGACTGACCGCTGTTAAAACAAGACAAAATGACATCGCTCTTTTTAATCTTTTCAGATGTTTGCACATGAGTCTAAAAGTTGGATGACCTACAGAATCTAAAAGCCTATTCTTAACTGTCACTGCAAACTTAGGTTCCGACATGTTATCATGTTAGCATAAAATTTAAAGGGGTCCAATAAAAAAAATAATAGAGGGTTTACAGCATATACCTAAAACATTAAAGAGGACCATACACGCTCAAATTCGTTTGTCAAACATTCTTATCAAATTCTTTTTTGACAGTTTGACTTTTGGCCAACACGCCCAATTTTTGGGGCGGTCAAACATTAGTTTGTGTCAAGAGTTTGTAATGGACGGACTAACAGTGCTGGCTCTTGCTTTAGCCTTGTGAAGAAAAACAAAAAGAAAAGAAAATGACCGTGTCTGTGTTTCTTGACTACAGGAATAAAAGAGCACCAAAAAACCCACAATGAAGGCTCGTAGATATCATCTGCACCGGCCCCAGACTTTTGAGAATCATCCAATTTCTTCAACTTCCTTCGAAAACTCGTCCGTATGGAGTTAATTTCCTTTTTCATTTCTTCTCTTGTGGCATCTGCATACCACTCCCTGTGTTTCAGCGGCTGAGTGTCATAGGCGGCTTTAAAAAACATCTCGGTCACCATATTCAAATTTCTTTACTTGTAACTTTCCATAGTTCAGGCAAACTCTGGTACACTTCAATCAGCTCCATAATAATTTTTTTTCATCCTTTGATAGCGCTGTGATGATGTAAAAAGTAGATCGTTTCTATCCAGCAGCCACTGAAATTTTTTTTTGCACAAGCAAATTTGATGAAGCCCACTCACGATAAGAAAAAAATTGACGGTTTGACAAAAAATATTAACTGAAAATGGATCCGTCAAATATTTGACATCAAATTATTTCGACCACCAAACACGCCCATACACGATCAAAAACCTATCAAAAATATTTGTGTCAAACAAAATAATAATAACAACAATTCAAACCATCAAACAAATTTGAGCGTGTAGGGGCACTTAACAAGTTGACATAACATAGTTCTCATCAATATGGCTGTCTCAAACTGAGTAGGTTGTAAGCTAGATTGCATGTATTTTAGTGAACCTCTGAATGTATGCACCCAAAGAGTAGTTTTGCCCAAACAGAGAAACTCTTATTTCTTATAACTGGTTACGATTTTTTTTAAATGTTTTGTTTGGTCGCTGGCTTGCAGAA